GTGTGTGTGTGTGTCTGTGTGTGTGTGTGTGTGTGTGTCTGTGTGTGTATCTATGTGTGTGTCTGTGTGTGTGTGTCTGTGTCTGTGTCTGTCTGTCTGTCTATGTGTGTGTGTGTGTGTGTGTGTGTGTGTGTATATGTGTGTGTGTGTGTGTGTGTATGCGTGTGTGCGTGTGTGTGTGCGTGTGTGTGTGTCTGTGTGTCTGTGTCTGTGTCTGTCTGTCTGTCTGTCTGTCTATGTGTGTGTGTGTGTGTGTGCACTTGTTTTCAACTCCTGGTGGGTTCCATAACCTGAGATTCCACTCACGTCATGGGGACTGGTTTTACGTGGTGGGGCCCGAACACCGGACCCCACTGGTCCAAGCTTAATAATCAATGGGTAATGCTTTTCTAACGGTCCTTATGCAGTCTCTGTAAAAATATGGAAAGGACCCCTGGAGGTTTACTTTCCTGAAAAAAGTGTGTTATGTGTCGGAACCCTGGTGGTGGGTTGCGGGATATCAAGGAGGGGCACACTGGGGCAATTTCAGTCCAGCAGGCTGGAGCCAATCATGGAGCAGCACAACAGAGGAAATCAGGTGTCAGGCTAGAAAAAGGTGCAAGTGTGTGGTTCATTAGGCTGCAAGAAATCATGGAGGAGCACACTGAAGCGCACGCTTACAAACCACTGGTAAGTGCTGACTACAAGTCATGACTTCAAATTGTTATATAGAATGATTACAAATTATTTGTTGTTTGTGCAGCTTAGTCAAGAGTCCCTAATTGATGAAGTCGACTCAGATTCTGACGATTTAACTGTCAAGAAGATCCCTGTAAAAAAGTATGGAAAAAGAAAAATCAAAAACACTTTTCTTCAAGACTCGGAAAGTGACGAACCAAAGGCAAATAAGATTGTTATCATGCAGCTGCAAAAGAAGAAAAATGGGGGGCGAGTTTACAGCAAGAGGCACTTCTGCCTCTACTGTTCAATGTCCTGCCACAAAATGTCCCGTCATTTGACTAGAAAACATGGAAATGAAAGTGACGTAGCCAGAGCATTGGCTCTACCTGTGAAATCTAAAGCACGTAAACTTCAGTTTGATTTGATCAGGAATAGTGGAAACCGTGAGCACAATTTTGAGGTTTTAAAGGCCGGCATTGGAACTTTAGTCCCAGCTAAACAGCCAAATTCCCCAGTTAAATCCAGTGAGTTTTTGCACTGTATAGACTGTGGGGCATTGCTTAAGCGAAAGTCGCTGTGGAGGCATGTGGCCAGGTGCCGGCTTTCACAGAAAGATGCCCAGGCTAAACCAGGCTAAACCAGGTAGAAGTAGGGTCCAGTCCCTCTGCTACCTAGCCCAGCCTGTACCGGAGGGCATCAGCAAAAAGCTGTGGTCTTTAATTTCGGCAATGCATCAGGATGAGGTCACGGGTGTTGTCAAAGCAGAAAAGGGGATTCTGAGACTCGGAGAGCACCTGTACTTAAAACACGGGCATGATAAGACTAAGCATGATTACATTAGGCAGAAAATGAGAGAAGTCGGTAGGTTAATTAACGAAGCAAAAACCGCAGGGAAACTGAAAACAATTAAGGATTTCTTTATTCCTTCCAACTTTAACCATGTGATTGATGCAGTCAGGTCTGTGGCTGGATATGATGAGGAAACAAATCAATACAAGACTCCATCCTTGGCCCTCAAACTCGGCCATAGCCTCAGAAAGCTAGCAGATATTCTTGAATGTGACTCAAAAATGGAGCATTGTGTTGATGAACTATTTATTAAAAACCTCCAACGAAGCCGGCTGCTTTTTGAGAAGAGGTGGGACGTCTGTGTTTCTTCTGCTGCCCTACAGACCCTCCGGCAAGCCAAGTGGAACACTCCGGACCTGCTCCCTCTGACTGAGGACGTTAGAGCCATGCATGCACATATTGAGGTATGTCGACCTGAATATGTGCAAACCCTAATAAGTGAGCCAACGTCTAAGCATTGGTCTAAACTGGCAGTTTTGACTCTTTGTGAGGTCATCATTTTCAATCGAAGAAGGGAAGGTGAGGTTTCAAAGATGCCACTGACAGCCTTTACCTTAAGAAGTAAGACTGGGATCCATTCTGACATTGCTCTGGGACTGTCCCAACTTGAGAAAAAGCTGTGTCAGCATTTTCAACGCATTGAAATTAAAGGGAAAAGAAGTCGGAAAGTGCCGGTTCTTTTGACTCCTGAAATGATTGCTTCGATGGAGGTGCTGGTGGAGAACAGAAGGGCCTGTTCCATCTCTGACCATAACCCATACTTCTTTTCCCGCCCGGGCGCAGACACCCACATCAGGGGATCAGACTCCCTACGCCAGGTAGCCAAAGAATGTGGTGCGGTGCATCCAGAGATGCTATCCTCAACCAAACTTAGAAAGCACATAGCTACTATGTCTCTACAGTTCTCAATATGAAAGAGAATGAGATGGACATACTTGCCAACTTCCTCGGCCATGACATTCGCATCCACAGGCAATATTACAGACTACCAGAGGGGACACTGGAGCTGGCCAAAATCAGCAAAGTGTTGATGGCCATGGAGCAGGGAAGAGTGACGGAATTCGAAGGAAAGAGCCTCGACCAGATACAAATTGAGCCTGAAGGTAATTCTTGATATTATTAAAATATGTATGATTTTTTTCCCCTAAAGGCCACTTGTATCTTTATTTTCTGTGCGACAGGGAGAGCAGTAGAGATCCTCTCACAAACGGACGGGCTAAAAGAAACTTCAAGCGGAGAACCTTCAACCATTCATCCAGATGCACCCCATGGTAGTGGCAGTGCCCCTTCTGGTAAGTGTACCAGGTGGGGGATTACAGCCAGGCTGCTTGGTCCTCACCCTGGGAGTGTATATTGCTAATATATTTTTATTTCTCTCCCTAGAACGTGTAAGAAAGCCATGGTCTGCATCTGAGGTGAAGGCTGTGGAGAAGACCATGACACCTTTCATACAGACTGGAAAGGTCCCTGGGAAGTCTCACTGCCTGGCCTGCATTAATGCCTCACCAGATGACCTTAGACATCGGACATGGAGTGGCATTAAATTCTATGTCAAAAATAGAATCACTGCAATTCGAAAACAAAATCTAAAATAAAATTCCTTTAAAATAGTTGTTTGGTTTCTATTGACTGTTTTGTATTACTTAAAGTCTTGGTAAAAAAAGATTATGTCTATGGGTCCCATTCTGAACGGCCCTGTCAAAGGGACCCACCAGGTAACAAAAACGTGTATGTGTGTGTTTGTGTGTGTGTGTGTGCTTCTTAAAGCAGTAGATAGGAACTTTCTCTCAGGTCTCTTCCTCTATGGTCTCTCTCTCTCTCTGGTCTCTATTTCTGGTCTCTTGCTGGTCTTTCTCTCTCTAGTCTCTCTATTTCTGGTCTCTGGTCTCTTTTTCTCTCTCTGGTCTTGCTCTCTCTCTCTCTGGTCTCTCTTTCTCTCTCTGGTCTCTCTCTCTCTCTATCTCTCTCTCTACCTCACACAGATTCAGATTCAGTTAATTTACCATTTGCAGTAAAACCACATTGGAATACATGTGCAAGAGTCCCCAGTGTACAACAACATGTAACAATACGTACAATACCTCCGCTCTCTCTGGGGCCAAGACTCCCCTGAAAGAAAGCCTGAAATAAATAAACAATGGGACTTTTCTGATTTGGTTCAGGACCTGATTGAGAGCAGCCGTTATCCCTGGTCAGACCCACCCCCCTCCCCCCCTCGCCACATGGTCCTTAAATAGCCGGAGACCGCTCAGAGCTGGACGTGTAGACGGTAAACGCTGCTTAAGTCGCTAATCTAGTGTCACTGTCGGCTCTTTGGGGTTTTCTCCTTAATCCACTCGTCACTGATCGGACAGAGATGCTAACTCCCATTGACAGACACAGAGATGCTAACTCCCATTGACAGACACAGAGATGCTAACTCTCTCCGACAGCGGCGCGGAGACGGACTATCGATGGACTCAGGCTGAAGACACTAGACTAAGTGGAGCTGGAGACGGAGAGATAAAACTAGTCACTTTGTCACAGTCAGACGGAGGTTAGTCCGTGTGGAGTAACCTCCACACGGACTAACCGTGTGGAGGTTACTGGAGGTAAAGGGTGTGGAGGTGTGTGGAGGGTGTGGAGTAGGGTTTAATCCCGGGATACGGGATTCCCGGGAAATCTGATGAAAACTATTTCCCGATTCCCGGGAAATGTTATGACGGGAAACGGGAAATGAAAGTAAAAAAAAAAATACAGTGCGCTCCTATTATAAAGCACGTGTATTGTTGTTCAAAGTTTAAACATATTTCATTTACAATCAACATGTCTACAGCTGAGAGGATGGCTCATAAATTGTGTTTTTGACAACAAATATGGGTCTTAATCGCGCTAAACCACGACTTGTAATGAGGCCAGGCTCAGGGTACGGGGCACATGTGAGCCCAGAATTTGGTTACGTCCAATTCTATCAGAAAGCTCCTTTCTTTTTTTCCATCTGCTAAGGGCAGCAACAGGTTTGGCTAACATACAGATAACACTTTTTTAAAATCATATAAAATGCATTTAGGGTAATGTTCTGCTTACAATGACGATAGGAATGATAAGGAAGAGAGGAGAAGGGTAAGAAGGTTGATATTAGAAATTGGATGCGCCCGAGAGCCGGCTGCAGCGAACACACAGGAGTTTATGGAGGTGGCACCCGTTTTGTTTTACGCTTTAAAACTTTTTGGGCTTATTTCCAAATGGGGGATTACATATCTGCGCTCAAACTATTATCTGGACTTAAACATGAAACTGGTCTGAACCGAAGTGGTCTGTGCTGTTCATTAATAACTAAGGTAAGACCCATAACACAATTGGAAATGTGCCTTTTACGAACTTTTGCGTTTTGTTTGAGCAAACAATGCGGGCCATGGAAAACATTCTGCTGTAGCCAAACTAATTGTGAATAAGCCGCTCTGCAGGTTCTGTTGATTTATATGATATATGTCCATCTGATTGGGCTGAAGTCAGTGGAGGGTGTAGAGGTGTGTGGAGGGTGTAGAGGTGTGTGGAGGGTGTAGAGGGTGTAGAGGTGTGTGGAGGGTGTGGAGGTGTGTGGAGGATGTAGAGGTGTGTGGAGGGTGTAGAGGTGTGTGGAGGGTGTAGAGGTGTGTAGAGGGTGTAGAGGTTTGTGGAGGGTGTAGAGGTGTGTAGAGGGCGTAGAGGTGTGTAGAGGGTGTAGAGCTGTGTGGAGGTGTGTGGAGGTGTGTGGAGGGTGTGGAGGATGTAGAGGTGTGTGGAGGGTGTAGAGGTGTGTGGAGGGTGTAGAGGGTGTAGAGCTGTGTGGAGGTGTGTAGAGGTGTGTGGAGGGTGTAGAGGTGTGTGGAGGGTGTAGAGGTGTGTGGAGGGTGTAGAGGTGTGGGGAGGGTGTAGATGTGTGTGGAGGGTGTAGAGGTGTGTGGAGGGTGTAGAGGTGTGTGGAGGTGTGTGGAGGGTGTAGAGGGTGTAGAGGTGTGTGGAGGGTGTAGAGGTGTGTGGAGGATGTAGAGGTGTGTGGAGGGTGTAGAGGTGTGTGGAGGTGTGTGGAGGGTGTGGAGGGTGTGGAGGTGTGTGGAGGGTGTGGAGGTGTGTGGAGGGTGTAGAGGTGTGTGGAGGGTGTGGAGGGTGTGGAGGTGTGTGGAGGGTGTGGAGGTGTGTGGAGGGTGTAGATGTGTGTGGAGGGTGTGGAGAGGTGTGTGGAGGGTGTAGAGGTGTGTGGAGGGTGTAGAGGTGTGTGGAGGTGTGTGGAGGTGTGTGGAGGGTGTAGAGGTGTGTGGTGTGTAGAGGGTGTAGAGGTGTGTGGAGGGTGTAGAGGTGTGTGGAGGGTGTAGAGGTGTGTGGAGGGTGTAGAGGTGTGTGGAGGATGTAGAGGTGTGTGGAGGGTGTAGAAGTGTGTGGAGGGTGTAGAGGTGTATCTATAGTTGTGTATCTGTGTGTATTCTTCTTCCACTAAACTATGGATCAGGACGACATACAGCGACAGATCCAGGGATTGGAAAGTGCAAATTCAAGTCAAGTGTTCAGATCAGAGAGAGACCAGAGACTAGAGCGAGACTAGAGAGAGACTAGAGAGAGACCAGAGAGACTAGAGAGAGACTAGAGAGAGACCAGAGAGAGACTAGAAAGAGACTAGAAAGAGACTAGAGAGAGACTAGAGCGAGACCAGAGAGACTAGAGAGAGACCAGAGAGAGACTAGAAAGAGACTAGAAAGAGACTAGAAAGAGACTAGAGAGAGACTAGAGAGAGACTAGAGAGAGACTAGAGAGAGACTAGAGAGAGACTAGAGAGAGACTAGAGAGACTAGAGAGACTAGAGAGAGACTAGAGAGAGACTAGAGAGAGACCAGAGAGACTAGAGAGACTAGAGAGAGACCAGAGAGAGACTAGAGAGAGACCAGAGAGACTAGAGAGACTAGAGAGAGACCAGAGAGAGACTAGAGAGAGACCAGAGAGAGACCACAGTGAGACTTGCCTGGCCTGCCAAACGATATGGCAGGGTGTGGAGGTGTGTGGAGGGTGTGGAGGTGTGTGGAGGGTGTAGAGGTGTGTGGAGGTGTGTAGAGGGTGTAGAGGTGTGTGGAGGGTGTGGAGGTGTGTGGAGGGGTGTAGATGTGTGTGGAGGATGTGGAGGTGTGTGGAGGGTGTAGAGGTGTGTGGAGGGTGTAGAGGTGTGTGGAGGTGTGTGGAGGTGTGTGGAGGGTGTAGAGGGTGTAGAGGTGTGTGGAGGTGTGTGGAGGTGTGTGGAGGGTGTAGAGGTGTGTGGAGGTGTGTAGAGGGTGTAGAGGTGTGTGGAGGGTGTAGAAGTGTGTGGAGGGTGTAGAGGTGTATCTATAGTTGTGTATCTGTGTGTATTCTTCTTCCACTAAACTATGGATCAGGACGACATACAGCGACAGATCCAGGGATTGGAAAGTGCAAATTCAAGTCAAGTGTTCAGATCAGAGAGAGACCAGAGACTAGAGCGAGACTAGAGAGAGACTAGAGAGAGACCAGAGAGACTAGAGAGAGACTAGAGAGAGACCAGAGAGAGACTAGAAAGAGACTAGAGAGAGACTAGAGCGAGACCAGAGAGACTAGAGAGAGACCAGAGAGAGACTAGAAAGAGACTAGAAAGAGACTAGAAAGAGACTAGAGAGAGACTAGAGAGAGACCAGAGAGACCAGAGAGACTAGAGAGAGACTAGAGAGAGACTAGAGAGAGACTAGAGAGAGACTAGAGAGACTAGAGAGAGACTAGAGAGAGACTAGAGAGAGACCAGAGAGACTAGAGAGACTAGAGAGAGACCAGAGAGAGACTAGAGAGAGACCAGAGAGACTAGAGAGACTAGAGAGAGACCAGAGAGAGACTAGAGAGAGACCAGAGAGAGACCAGAGAGACTAGAGAGACTAGAGAGAGACCAGAGAGAGACTAGAGAGAGACCAGAGAGAGACCACAGTGAGACTTGCCTGGCCTGCCAAACGATATGCTTTTTCAATTTTGAACAGAAAGGAGGAGTGTCTGGCAGGCCAGGCAACAGTGAGACCAGAGAGAGAGACCAGAAATATATCAAAGAATCATGATATATCAGAAATGAATCACAAGTAGTAATAATAATGAATTGTGGCTCAAATATACTTTCAAATGGTCACATGTTTGCTGTCTGTGTCTGTTGTGTTGTGCTGTCTGTGTCTGTTGTGTTGTGCTGTCTGTGTCTCTTGTGTTGTGCGATCAGATGGTTGGATCTAAAAATAGTGTTGCTCACAGGTCACTCTTACCCTTTTGCCCACGAAGCATCTTCTAAAAATACTCAGTGCTGAAACCCTCCTCCTGCTCCTCTCCTGGTCCTCTCCTGGTCCTCTCCTGGTCCTCTCCTGGTCCTCTCCTGGTCCTCTCCTGGTCCTCTCCTGCTCCTCTCCTGGTCCTCTCCTGCTCCTCTCCTGGTCCTCTCCTGGTCCTCTCCTGCTCCTCTCCTGGTCCTCTCCTGGTCCTCTCCTGCTCCTCTCCTGGTCCTCTCCTGGTCCTCTCCTGCTCCTCTCCTGGTCCTCTCCTGCTCCTCTCCTGGTCCTCTCCTGGTCCTCTCCTGCTCCTCTCCTGGTCCTCTCCTGCTCCTCTCCTGCTCCTCTCCTGGTCCTCTCCTGCTCCTCTCCTGGTCCTCTCCTGGTCCTCTCCTGCTCCTCTCCTGGTCCTCTCCTGCTCCTCTCCTGCACCTCTCCTGGTCCTCTCCTGGTCCTCTCCTGCTCCTCTCCTGCTCCTCTCCTGGTCCTCTCCTGCTCCTCTCCTGGTCCTCTCCTGGTCCTCTCCTGCTCCTCTCCTGGTCCTCTCCTGCTCCTCCTCCTGCTCCTCTCCTGCTCCTCTCCTGGTCCTCTCCTGGTCCTCTCCCGCGCCTCTCCTGGTCCTCTCCTGGTCCTCTCCTGCTCCTCTCCTGGTCCTCTCCTGGTCCTCTCCTGGTCCTCTCCTGGTCCTCTCCTGCTCCTCTCCTGCTCCTCTCCTGCTCCTCTCCTGGTCCTCTCCTGCTCCTCTCCTGCTCCTCTGCTGGTCCTCTCCTGGTCCTCTCCTGGTCCTCTCCTGGTCCTCTCCTGGTCTATATGTGATATGCTTTACGTTTTAGAAGTGTTCATACTTTTTTAGTTTTCATAACTTTGTGACTTTTTCTGTATCTCTCGTCGTTCGTCGCAGTTTATTGTCGCTTATTTCTGTCTCTATCTTTAAGAAATTATTTTAAAGCTTTTTTTTAAATGTGAGTTTAATCTTTGAATAGTGAGCGCTGGTTCCTATGGCAACACACCATTTACCGTTAGCATTTGGTCTTTAGCATTAGCACGTCATTAGCACAAACTGTTTTAGCATTTAGTAAAAGTGGGTAAAGGTTAGAAAAAAAACGTAATAAATCTGGTGAAATTTTTTTGGGGGAATAACTCAGTATTCTATTGGTTTGAACGGGAGCAGTCAAAATGGCGGCTTTGGGAGTTCAAGTAGTTTCAGGATTGAGGCAGTCCTTGTAGGAAATGCTTTTGAGCCATGCCACAATAAAGGTTTCTTAAAATTATTCTATAAACAAAAATACTTTAGATTTGTCCCCTCCGACTGCACTGCAAAAAAAAGTCAAAAATTGCTCAAATTTTGCAAAATGTGTCTTAGTTTGAGCACATTCTGACTGAAATAAGACAAAATGACTTTGTCCCGTTGGATAATCTAGTTTTAACAACAAAACACTTGATTCAAGAAACTATTACTTGTATTTTATCATTTTTACGCAGTTTGAAGAGATTGAAATATTGTTTTTTTTAATGTACTTGTCTCGTGCACACTGTTTTATTCCAATGTGGTTTTACTGCAAATGGAAAATTCACTGAATCCAAAGATTTTCCCGCTCTTTTCTCAGCTCTTACTTACTGCTTTGGAAGACATTGTTCTCGGCCTCAGTATACATCAAAATACAGTGTTAGATACCATTGTAGACCTTCACCAGTCTGTGCACGGCTGTAAGAGGCCCTGCAGGTGCTGCTCAGACCACAGACCACGAGGAGGTTACCCACAATGCCACAGAAAGCTAACAATGTATAAAAAGTGCCCTTACACATTTACAGTAGTGAATGGAGTGAATGTGAGAGACCATGTAAAGTCATAACTCATGGTCCGGTGTCACTCCCCCCCCCCCCCCCCCTCCCTCTCCTGTGTGACTGATGGATTGTGGGATATCTGTGCGCTGACATGTCCCGCCCTCCTCCTCCCTCCATCTCCAGGGAGACGTTTGATTGACAGCTCCTGACACGGGCTCTCGTCTCATTCACTCAGATCCGTGTTTATCGTTTTGTGTTTTGGGGGAAAAGAACAACCCAGTCCCAATGTATGCAGAGAATCGTCTCCACGTCAAAAAAAATCCCAAATCTAATCTCGAACGGCGAGGTGTGGCAGAAGAAACGCCTCTTTCCAGCTCATACTGAACCGTGTCGGGGCTTAATGCGTCTCATAAAAACTAATGAGAAGCATCTTGGCATTTTTGAAGCATAAGTAAAACCCTATTTCTATGTATCACAGACGTAGAAAGTAAAAACTGTGGGTGTTGCTGTGTTTTTAGAGCAGGGGTGTCCAAACATTTTAGTAAGAAGACCACTTTAGTTCACCAGACTGGTCCAGGGGTTGACGTCACGGACTGAAAAACTGTCTGAGCTTTAAAATGATCTTTAACGGAGCTGAAGTTGGATGGATGACAAATGTTTACCATCTCACCAGCTAAAAAGTCCTCAACTGAATTCCGGACATACTGGGCTTTAGAACAAGGTCTATTTTGGCTGAGCTGAAGTTGGATGGATGACACAGTGAACTTGTGTTTATGATCTCAAAGACTACTTTAGGTTAGCGAGGCAGAGGGCCACATACAATGACACAGAGGGCCGCAACATGCCCCCGGGCCTGAGGTTGGACATGCCTGTTTTAGAGCCATACCTCTACTGTAATATACTGTAATGTTCTTATAGACCTCGATGTTAGCTAAAGCGGCTAGTCCTCAGCTGACAGAGAACCAACCGAAAGCTTTCCCCTTTTGAAATCCGTCTGTTTTCTATAAATCGCTCTACAGAGGCACAAGCAGAACATGCAAACTCCCCACAGGAAGGCCTGGTCTTACCATGTGTAAACTCTGGTCCATGGTCATTTCCTACATGTACATCTGGTCTTACCATGTGTAAACTCTGGTCCATGGTCATTCCTACATGTACATATGGTCTTACCATGTGTAAACTCTGGTCCATGGTCATTCCTACATGTACATCTGGTCTTACCATGTGTAAACTCTGGTCCATGGTCATTTCCTACATGTACGTCTGGGTCTTACCATGTGTAAACTCTGGTCCATGGTCATTTCCTACATGTACGTCTGGGTCTGATCCTAGTGGCTGCAGTTTTCTCGGTTGAATCCCCTCCGACCAATCAGAGAGCGGGGGAGGCGGGTCTTGTAGGTCGTGTCGGTGACGTCAAGAGTTTGTGCTGAATTTTCTGGTTGTAGTTTGTCGGAGAATGTGATAGTAAAATAATCTGTTCTTGTTCAATCCAAATATCAAGAAACTGAAGCCGGAGCAAGAGGAATGTTTAGAGAATGTCATTTCTGCAAAAATCTTGTGGCTTTACTCCCCACGGGCTCCGTTAGCGGCAAAGGAGATGGCTAAAGCTAGGCTAAATGCTAACGACTCACTCGGGCTCATTACATACGTCACAGTAAACTCAGATCTAATTGTTTCAATCTGCGAAAGAAGTTAACCCCTCCCACCTGTTCACGGAGTCAATGGAGCACCTCCAGACCTTAGTACCAGAATGAAAGGAGTACCATGGTGTGGTACGACCAGGGTAGGTGTATTTTACTGTGTTTTATCAGTCGTGTTGCTTCAGTAGCGGCTGTAGCACTGTCCTCTTTGGTAAAATCCTCTGTCTTCATCTCACTACAGTGTTTACTACAGCGCTCTCGGCTTCATTAGTTTTAATCCTCTCTCTCTCGCTCTCTCGCTCTCTCGCTCTCTCTCTCTCTTTCTCTCTCTGAGCCGCACTAATTAAATGTAATTGACTCGGCTCTAATTGAACGAGGAGAAAATAGGACATGGTTTGTTTTACAGTATCACGTCTCTGTCTCTCCTCTCACCTCTGACCATTCTCTGCTTTCTCTCTCTCTCTCTCTCTTTTTGCTCTTCAGGCTCCGGGGCGAATATCTCTGAAGAGTCTAGACGCCGGTGTTTTGGAAGAAGGAGAGAGCAGTGCATTGTGGGAGCTGAGGCCATGGCCGCGGGAAGCTGAGGCGATTGATTGAAGATGGGGTGAGTGTAGCTGAGGAGGCAACAAAGACAGAGAGAGACGGAGCTGGAGGCGGCAAACTAGACGGAAAATACAACCCCTACGTGGTAGATCCAGGAGTCAGACTGTAGAACGAGGACTGAGGCTGTGCTTGTATGTGGTAATAACATGACAGAATAGAAGGACAGTGGTGATGATCCAGGATGTGTTCTTTTATGATTGCATTTCCTGTGTTTGAACTGTTTCTGATTCTCTGATCTGTTGTTGGCGAATCGACAACTTTGTAAAGTCCTCAGAGAAAACTACTGTTGTGATTTAGGGCGATACAAGAATAAATGACTGGAGCTGTGTTTTTACAGACAGTTTCACAAAGACATTTAGACCTCAGTGTGTCTTCTGTCTCTCCTGACTTTACATTGTTCTGAATATGTATGATTACAACACACACACACACACACACACACACACACACACACACACACACACACACACACACAGATCTACAGCTAGCGGCGAGGCTAACGATGTAGCTTTGATACTGATGAGCTCTGCAGATACACTGGGAATAACAAAAAGGAGAAGATTCTGTTTATAAATGTCCATAAATGTTGTTTTATTGTGAGTTAAAAGTATAAAACCCAAACTGACTCTGAGTCTAAAGTGTCCTCAGGGTTTTTTAATAAAAGTCTATCTGTTGATTCCTCATCTCCTCCTCCTCCTCCTCCACGATCACCTCCATCTGCAGCTCTAATGACACACTGCAGCTTTTATTGATGCCGCTGGAAAAGAGGAGAAAGCAACAAGAGACGAAAGAGAAGGTTTTGTGTCGAGATGAACGAAGCTGGAGGTGTTTTTGCGACTTTTTATACCGTAAAAACATACAACACAAAAACATCTATGAATGCGCAATTTTAAATACAGTACGACATACATTGAGGTAAAACAGTAAGATTTCAATGCTACAAATACAGACTCGAAGGACTAGAATAGAGAATAACAAACACAGAGGAGGCACAGGTCCATAGAGAGAGGGATGACCACTGTCCAGAATATATTCTTTAATACTTTTACAATTCAACACCGGCATTTCTCCATTGTGAGATTAATAAAACAGACTGTATCTACTGTATCTATATTAATAAGTCATCTCTGTCCTTAGACTCTCCGTCATCACAAAGGAATGACTAAAAACAAAGAATAGTGGTAAATAATGTGAGAAACGTCGGGCCCAGACTGAGAACGGGATCAGAACCAGGACTGTTCGTCTGTGGGAGCGGATCCTCTCCACGCTTTTAAAATGTTGTTTTATTTGTTATTTTTTTCTATCTGATGCAGGAGGCTCTGAGGACAGTGACGGTCCGAGACGTTTATGGATCATTAATAACATTTCTGAACATTTCTGGACAGTGGTCAGTGTCTCTCTGTGTTTGTTATTATTGCATAATCTGTGTTGGAACTGATTGATTTTCTGATCTGCTTTAGTGAAATTGGGCGAGACACAATTTAATTTCACTTAAATACATTGTTTTGTTTAGATTATTATTGGGCGGCACGGTAACTGTGTGGATAGGGCTCTTGCTTCTCAGTAAGAAGGTCTTGGGTTCGAATCTTGGTCAGAACAGGGTCCTTCTGAGTGGAGTTTGCATGTTCTCCCTGTGTCTGTGTAGGTATCCCGCGGGTGCTACGGTTTGCTCTACCAGGCGGCTGCCCCATCTCTGTGTGGAGTGAGAGACAAATGCCCGACATTGTAAAGTGCTTTGTGACTGTGGTCTGAGAAAGGCGCTATATAAATAAACATTACTCACTTACTATTGTTTGTCACATACACATTACATGCAGTGAAATTCTTACACACAATAAAACAGAATAAAACTGAGACAGAGTTAGGCCTGGTTTAGTCTTATGGCTTCTGTAGATCGTGCACAATATTGAATGGAGTTGTTTGTGTCTCCTGCAGGTGGCGCTGTCCTGTGTCTCTGTGTGGATGTGGAGCCTGACGTCATGTGACCACAGCCCCTGACGATGGAGCCGCCTCTCAGCGCTCTGTCCCAGGACGCTCTGTTCTGCCACAGAGCGGGACACTTCCCCTCCGCTCCACTGGGGGCGCCCTTCCCCCTCATGTCCCGCTGCAGCAGCAGCACTCTGCTCACCAACCTGGGGCTGCGCTACGGCCCACGACAGGGGCCTCTGCGGGTGAGAACCAGAGAGAGACCGGAGAGACCAGAGAGACCAGAGAGACCAGAGAGAGACCAGAGAGAGACCAGAGAGAGACCAGAGAGAGACCAGAGAGAGACCAGAGAGAGACCAGAGAGAGACCAGAGAGAGACCAGAGAGAGACCAGAGAGAGACCAGAGAGAGACCAGAGAGAGACCAGAGAGAGACCGGAGAGAGAGACCGGAGAGAGAGACCGGAGAGAGAGACCGGAGAGAGACAGGAGAGAGACCAGAGAGAGACCAGAGAGAGACCAGAGAGAGACCAGAGAGAGAGAGACCTGATATACACCATAGAGAGACTTTAAATAATGGTAACTGTCATGTTAAACTAGCGCTTTAATGAAGTTGTAATACAATCAAATTCAAGATCAATGAAGTAATTATCTCTCTTCTTCTTCCACTTGTTCCAGGGCCTGGTGCCTCCCTCCTGCGTCCTCACGGGCAGCAGACCCTACCGCAGCATGGAGAACCTCAGCTGGAGCCCGTTGTTCGACCCAAACCTGTCCGGCCACTGCTACCGAAGCGTGGACAGCGAACTCATCCTGCGCTACACCTCCACGAGCCACTGGTACGACGGCCCCCCGGACCCTACCATCCCCTGCGCCCCCTCCCTCCATCCAGACAGCCTCGCCCTCTACCCGCGCCACTGCATCCCCCGGAAGGACGTCTCGCTCATCCCCCACTTCCTGCTGCCCGGTGGCCTCGACGAATGGGACGCCAGGAAAGGATTACGAGATAAGCTCCGCCTCCAAAGCGCTCGGTCGGCAGGTGAAGCCACGAAAGCTCTCCCGATGCGAACGCAGACCAACCAAACCCCGGAACAGTACGGATCCATCAACGGGAAACCCACTCGGATTACAAGCCATGAAGAGATTAAGCGAGAGGTTTTACGGCGTTTGAAACTTCGCCGGCAAAACAGTAGCCCGAATTTAGCACTCGCTAGCTCTTCCGGCAGCTTGAATGAACTAGCGACGTCGTTTACCACGGACAACATCGCTGGGAATAGAAATAGTTTGGTTTCGGAAGTTCGCAGACCACCGTTAGGGCGATTGCACATTCCCACTTTTGAGGAGTTTAAGAAAATGCGGCAAAAAGAAGCTAACGGATCTATGACTAACGGATCTACAGCTATCGCCGAAGCTAACGATGTAGCTTTAATAGATTTGAACGGACAAATACAGACTGATACACAAGCTAGTTCTGATAGCAGCAAAGAATTAGCAACTTCTGCGATGGATGGTACAAGGCATTTTTCTCCGATTCGGACCGTACCATCTCCCAGAGGACCCTTCCAAGTGTTAGCTAGCTCATCTCAGTTGTCGGGGGCCAGTAGCAAACCCAGACGGAGTAGCCTGGACACGGTGGGATCGGTTCCCTTCCCTCCAAACAGAGACGTGGTTGAGAGGCCGTCGAGCTGTTGTCCCGCGCTGCTTCTGGAAGGATCGGAACTGTCCAAGTACGGAGCAAAGATCTACAAGATGAAAGACGGACTCATCGGGTCAGCGCTGGACCTGATCAAGAAAAGGTGAGTCTGGGGAGCGTTTTTTGGGCTTAATAATGGCGTGTGCGGATTTCAAACAACAAACTAAACATTGTTACTGTTGCAACCACATTATTATTTAAGTTTACGAACAGAGGTGGGAGTCAATAAGCTTGTCTTCTTCCCACTCCTTTTCGAGCTAGAATGTTAATTATTTTTCTTTTATTTTTACTGGCTTTTGTGCCTGTGTTGTGTGTTGTGTAGCTCGAAATAAAAAAAAAAACAATCAAAAATCAATCAAAAATCAATCAAAAATCAATCAAAAAAATTAATCAAAAATCAATCAAAAAAATTAATCAAAAATCAATCAAAAAAATCAATCAAAATCCTCCAGCTCTGGTCCTGACCAAGCCGAGCATCAACATTTGGAGATGGGTTAACGGGCGCTGTTACCACGCCAACCACTGCTCCTGACAAAAGCCTTAGTGGCATCAGGATGGGTCAAATGCAGAGGATGAATTGTCCTACGGGGATTAATAAAATGCACAATTACCTTTTAATTGTTACTATTAGAGCAAAAAATATATATAGTAAATCAGACTCGAACAATTCTTGTCCTGCATTTGTCTCCAGTCGCGTCCTGCTCCCTGCTCTCTTCAAAACGCTGCAGTAAATTCAGGACACAGCAGCTCGAGTCCTGACTAGAACCAGGAAGTACGACCACATTAGTCCTGACTAGAACCAGGAAGTACCATCACATTAGTCCTGACTAGAACCAGGAAGTACCATCACATTAGACCTGACTAGAACCAGGAAGTACCATCACATTAGTCCTGACTAGAACCAGGAAGTACCATCACATTAGTCCTGACTAGAACCAGGAAGTACCATCACATTAGTCCTGACTAGAACCAGGAAGTACCATCACATTAGACCTGACTAGAACCAGGAAGTATCATCACATTAATCCTGACTAGAACCAGGAAGTACCATCACATTAGACCTGACTAGAACCAGGAAGTACCATCACATTAGACCTGGTCTTAGGTCTCTGCTTCCTGTGGAATATAGACTTCTATATAAGATATAGTCTCTGTTTGTTAGTCTCTCCATGGCCTCGTACCAAAGTACATCTGTGACATGTTAGGGCCATATGAACCAACTCTGAGGAGCACAGGGACTGGCCTCCTGCTGGGACTCTGAGGAGCACAGGGACTGGCCTCCTGCTGGGACTCTGAGGAGCACAGGGACTGGCCTCCTGCTGGGACTCTGAGGAGCACAGGGACTGGCCTCCTGCTGGGACTCTGAGGAGCACAGGGACTGGCCTCCTGCTGGGACTCTGAGGAGCACAGGGACTGGCCTCCTGCTGGGACTCTGAGGAGCACAGGGACTGGCCTCCTGCTGGGACTCTGAGGAGCACAGGGACTGGCCGGTCCCAGAGTCTCGACTAAACATGAGGAGGCAGTGTTTCAGATTCATGCTAAAACCTGGTCTTCCTGAAAATGTGAGCCAGGCTTCTTCTCTGACAATGTTCCAATCCAGGTTAAAAACAGTTTTCTTGTCATTTGTCAAAAAAACAAAGTCCAATCAGAAATGGATCTCAGTGAAATGGTAAAACACTGGGATGGTGTATTGCCGCGTGGCTCTGTGTTCTGCCCCACTTCTCACAGCTGCGTTTATGCTGATTCCACGCCTGTTGCTATAGTTACCAAGACTTCCCAAGGTCGCGTGTTGAATACAGTACACACGGCTCTCCCACACGCACAAAGGGTGACATCACAGCTGCCAGAAGTTGATTGTGATCCTGAGATGAGCTCCCGTCTCTCCACTTGTCCTCTGCTCCTCCACATACAGCTGCAGTATACAGGCGCTCTGTCCTCTGCTCCTCCACATACAGCCGCAGTATACAGGCGCTCTGTCCTCTGCTCCTCCTCATACAGACGCAGTATACAGGCGCTCTGTCCTCTGCTCCTCCTCATACAGCCGCAGTATACAGGCGCTCTGTCCTCTGCTCCTCCTCACACAGCTGCAGTATACAGGCGCTCTGTCCTCTGCTCCTCCTCATACAGACGCAGTATACAGGCGCTCTGTCCTCTGCTCCTCCACATACAGCCGCAGTATACAGGCGCTCTGTCCTCTGCTCCTCCACATACAGCCGCAGTATACAGGCGCTCTGTCCTCTGCTCCTCCACATACAGCTGCAGTATACAGGCGCTCTGTCCTCTGCTCCTCCACATACAGCCGCAGTATACAGGCGCTCTGTCCTCTGCTCCTCCTCATACAGACGCAGTATACAGGCGCTCTGTCCTCTGCTCCTCCTCATACAGCCGCAGTATACAGGCGCTCTGTCCTCTGCTCCTCCTCACACAGCTGCAGTATACAGGCGCTCTGTCCTCTGCTCCTCCTCATACAGACGCAGTATACAGGCGCTCTGTCCTCTGCTCCTCCACATACAGCCGCAGTATACAGGCGCTCTGTCCTCTGCTCCTCCACATACAGCCGCAGTATACAGGCGCTCTGTCCTCTGCTCCTCCACATACAGCCGCAGTATACAGGCGCTCTGTCCTCTGCTCTTCCACATACAGCCGCAGTATACAGGCGCTCTGTCCTCTGCTCCTCCTCACACAGCTGCAGTATACAGGCGCTCTGTCCTCTGCTCCTCCACATACAGCCGCAGTATACAGGCGCTCTGTCCTCTGCTCCTCCTCACACAGCTGCAGTATACAGGCGCTCTGTCCTCTGCTCCTCCTCATACAGACGCAGTATACAGGCGCTCTGTCCTCTGCTCCTCCACATACAGCCGCAGTATACAGGCGCTCTGTCCTCTGCTCCTCCTCATACAGACGCAGTATACAGGCGCTCTGTCCTCTGCTCCTCCACATACAGCCGCAGTATACAGGCGCTCTGTCCTCTGCTCCTCCTCATACAGCCGCAGTATACAGGCGCTCTGTCCTCTGCTCCTCCTCATACAGACGCAGTATACAGGCGCTCTGTCCTCTGCTCCTCCACATACAGCTGCAGTATACAGGCGCTCTGTCCTCTGCTCCTCCACATACAGCCACAGTATACAGGCGCTCTGTCCTCTGCTCCTCCACATACAGCTGCAGTATACAGGCGCTCTGTCCTATGCTCCTCCACATACAGCCGCAGTATACAGGCGCTCTGTCCTATGCTCCTCCTCACACAGCCGCAGTATACAGGCGCTCTGTCCTCTGCTCCTCCTCACACAGCCACAGTATACAGGCGCTCTGTCCTATGCTCCTCCTCACACAGCCGCAGTATACAGGCGCTCTGTCCTCTGCTCCTCCTCACACAGCCACAGTATACAGGCGCTCTGTCCTCTGCTCCTCCTCATACAGCTGCAGTATTGACCAGATGCATCAACGTCATCCAGTCACGTGATTGTGAATGAGCTTACGGCGGAAGTATTGGAACCTAGCATTGCTGCGAGAGCAAAACGGACACAACTCTTAAAAACGGAGCTTCCTCTCCTAAATCGAGAAGTGGCTGCTTCAAGCACATGTTCGATTACGTTATAGGTGGAAGTAGGACATCAGGTCAGGGCTCACAAAGAGTGGTATTTGTAGAAGTTAAGGATTGCCTAACTGGATGTTGACCCGTACCTTCTCCCCCCTGTCAATTTTATCGATTAAATAAAATGTCTATTTTTGCCCAAATTCACCCTACATGATCTTTATCATTATCGTTAACAATGCATCCCCTCACACTGGAGCAGATTTATATGTACATTTTGCTGGTAGCATTAGCAATAGTCCACTTTTCTGTCTACAGCCAAACATGATACGTACTGACGGAGAGGAAAATAGTGAAACACGCAATTGACTTAAAAGATAAAAATGTCAATGTTGCAGCGCACATACAGGACAATAGTAAGAGACACGTTTGACGTGTGTCATTGTCCTCCACATTAATGGAAATAAAATAAATACAAACTTGTGATTGCTTTATCTTGTAAAAAGTGTTCACTGCAGATTAGGGAGTACTTGGATGGGTCCCAGTCCTTTTGGTTGATTGCCGCTGGCCATCGTCGTCTTCTGTATCAGGTATCAGATAAAAAAGCTTATGTCCGTGCCTGTTAGTATAATCAACCGCACTGCAAAATGTCACAGTTTTGGCTGTAATGCCAAATACGGACTGGTGTCTGTAGGCTCCAGTTAGACTTCTGCCGTCTGTCATGGAGAGTGGGCGTGGCCGTGACGTCACATGCAAGGGTTCAATACAGGCGCTCTGTCCTCTGCTCCTCCTCATACAGCCGCAGTATACAGGCGCTCTGTCCTCTGCTCCTCCTCATACAGCCGCAGTATACAGGCGCTCTGTCCTCTGCTCCTCCTCATACAGCCGCAGTATACAGGCGCTCTGTCCTCTGCTCCTCCTCATACAGCCGCAGTATACAGGCGCTCTGTCCTCTGCTCCTCCTCATACAGCCGCAGTATACAGGCGCTCTGTCCTCTCTGCGGCTGTGTCTCTGTCCCTGTTTCCACCAGCCCTACTCTACTCTACACTACTCTACCCTACTCTACTCTACTCTACCTTACTCTACTACCCTACTCTAGGCTACTCTACCCTACACTACTCTACTCTACCCTACTCTACCCTACTCTACTCTACCCTACACTACCCTACTCTACCCTACTCTACTTTACTACCCTACTCTACCCTACACTACCCTACTCTACTCTACCCTACACTACTCTACTCTACACTACTCTACTACCCTACTCTACTCTACCCTACACTACTCTACTCTACCCTACTCTACTCTACTACCCTACTCTACCCTACACTACCCTACTCTACCCTACTCTACCCTACACTACTCTACTCTACCCTACTCTACCCAACACTACTCTACTCTACCCTACTCTACTACACTACTCTACCCTACTCTACTCTACACTACTCTACCCTACTCTACTCTACCTTACTCTACTACCCTACTCTAGTCTACTCTACCCTACTCTACTCTACCCTACACTACTCTACTCTACACTACTCTACTACCCTACTCTACTCTACTCTACCCTACACTACTCTACTCTACTCTACCCTACTCTACTCTACTACCCTACTCTACCCTACACTACCCTACTCTACCCTACTCTACCCTACACTACTCTACTCTACCCTACTCTACCCAACACTACTCTACTCTACCCTACTCTACTACACTACACTACTCTACTCTACCCTACTCTACTCTACACTACTCTACCCTACTCTACTCTACTCTACCTTACTCTACTACCCTACTCTAGTCTACGCTACCCTACTCTACCCTACTCTACTCTACCCTACACTACCCTACTCTACTCTACTACCCTACCCTACACTACCCTACTCTACCCTACTCTACTCTACTCTACCCTACTCTACCCTACTCTACTCTACCCTACTCTACTCTACCCTACACTACCCTACTCTACTCTACTTCTCTACCCTACACTAACCTACTCTACTCTACCCTACACTACTCTACTCTACCCTACTCTACTACCCTACTCTACTCTACTCTACCCTACACTACTCTACTCTACCCTACTCTACTCTACTCTACTACCCTACTCTACCCTACACTACCCTACTCTACTCTACTCTACACTACACTACCCTACTCTACCCTACACTACTCTACTCTACCCTACACTACTCTACTCTACCCTACTCTACCCAACACTACTCTACTCTACCCTACTCTACTACACTCCTCTACTCTACCCTACGCTACTCTACTCTATTCTACCCTACACTACTCTACCCTACTCTACTACCCTACTCTACTCTACCCTACACTTCTCTACTCTACCCTACTCTACTACACTACCCTACTCTACTCTACTACCCTACTCTACTCTACTCTACCCTACACTACTCTACCCTACACTTCTCTACTCTACCCTACTCTACTACACTACCCTACACTACCCTACTCTACTCTACCCTACACTACTCTACTCTGCACTACTCTACTACCCTACTTTACTCTACTCTACCCTACACTACTCTACTCTACACTACTCTACTACCCTACTCTACTCTACTCTACCCTACACTACTCTACCCTACACTACCCTACTCTACCCTACTCTACTCTACTCTACCCTACTCTACTACCCTACTCTACTCTACCCTACACTACTCTACTCTACCCTACTCTACCCAACACTACTCTACTCTACCCTACTCTACTACACTACTCTACTACTCTACCTACTCTACTCTACTCTACCCTACTCTAGTCTACTCTACCCTACTCTAGTCTACTCTACCCTACACTACTCTACTCTACCCTACTCTACCCTACTCTACTCTACTCTACCCTACACTACCCTACTCTACCCTACTCTACTCTACTACCCTACTCTACTCTACTCTACCCTACACTACTCTACTCTACCCTACTCTACCCTACTCTACCCTACACTACCCTACTCTACCCTACTCTACTACTCTACTCTACTCTACTCTACTCTACTCTACTCTACTCTACTCTACTCTACTCTACTCTACTCTACCCTACTACACTACACTACTCTAATCTACTCTACTCTACTCTACTCTACCTTACTCTACTCTACTCTTCCCTACTCTACTCTACTCTACTCTACCTTACTCTACTCTACTCTACTCTACTCTACCTTACTCTACTCTACAGTACTCTACTCTACAGTACTCGACCCTACCCTACCTTACTCTACTCGACCCTACTCTACCCTAACCTACCCTACCCTACCATACTCTACTCTACCCTACCCTACCTTACTCTACTCTACCCTACCCTACTCTACTACACTACACTACTCTACCCTACTCTACTACACTACACTACACTACACTACACTACTCTACTCTACCCTACTCTACTCTATTCTACTCTACTCTACCCTACACTACTCTACCCTACTCTACTCTACCCTACTACTACTCTACCCTACTCTACTCTACCCTACACTACTCTACCCTACTCTACCCTACTCTACTCTACTCTACTCTACTCTACTCTACTCTACTCTACCCTACTCTATTCTACACTACTCTACCCTACTCTACTCTATTCTACACTACTCTACCCTACTCTACTCTACCCTACACTACTCTACCCTACTCTACTCTACCCTACCCTACTCTACCTACTCTACTCTACCCTACACTACTCTACTCTACCTACTCTACTCTACCCTACTCTACTCTATTCTACTCTACTCTACTCTACTCTACTCTACCCTACACTACTCTACCTACACTACTCTCTACTCTACTCTACCCTACACTACTCTACCCTACACTACTCTACCTACTCTACTCTACCCTACACTACTCTACCCTACTCTACTCTACTCTACCTACTCTACCTACTCTATCTACTCTACTCTACTCTACTCTACCCTACACTACTCTACCTACTCTACTCTACCTCTACTCTACTCTACCCTACTCTACTCTACTCTACCTACTCTACTCTACCCTACCTACTCTACTCCTACTCTACTCTACCCTACCTACTCTACTCTACCCTACTCTACTCTACCTACCTACCTACTCTACTCTACTCTCCACTCTACTCTACTACTACTCTACTCTACTCTACTCTACTCTACTCTACTCTACTCTACTACCTACTCTACTACTCTACTCTACTCTACTCTACTACTCTACTACCTACTACTTACTCTACCCTACTCTACTCTATTCTACTCTACTCTACCCTACACTACTCTACCCTACTCTACTCTACCCTACACTACTCTACCCTACTCTACTCTACCCTACACTACTCTACCCTACTCTACCCTACACTACTCAACTCTACTCTACTCTACTCTACTCTACTCTACCCTACTCTATTCTACACTACTCTACCCTACTCTACTCTATTCTACACTACTCTACCCTACTCTACTCTACCCTACACTACTCTACCCTACTCTACTCTACCCTACCCTACTCTACCCTACTCTACTCTACCCTACACTACTCTACTCTACTCTACTCTACTCTACCCTACTCTACTCTATTCTACTCTACTCTACTCTACTCTACTCTACCCTACACTACTCTACCCTACACTACTCTACCCTACTCTACTCTACCCTACACTACTCTACCCTACACTACTCTACCCTACTCTACTCTACCCTACACTACTCTACCCTACTCTACTCTACTCTACTCTACCCTACTCTACTCTATTCTACTCTACTCTACTCTACTCTACCCTACACTACTCTACCCTACTCTACTCTACCCTACACTACTCTACCCTACTCTACTCTACTCTACCCTACACTACTCTACCCTACTCTACTCTACCCTACACTACTCTACTCTACCCTACTCTACTCTACCTTACTCT